TTTGTAGCAGAGCACGGGCATTCAGCTAATAAGTTATATTAGCAATGATACCCAAGATAACGGAGGTAACTAGGTCAGAATAGTACAACCCACTGTGGCCATGTTACCATTCGCAGAGGAAACTCGCCTTGGGACATTTCCTCACGGGCTAACTCAATGCCTTGCTGCTACCTGGCAAGCCTTCCTGATTTCATTGCATGGAAAAGAGGCTTAAGGAATTTAGTTCTCCTTTTCCTGGAAGTCCTAGCCTTAGTGCCCCTGGAGAGGGATTCTCGAAGGGCTCTCTCTGCCTTGGAATCCTTGCCCATGCACTACTAGATCACCTGTGAGTCCTGGCCATGCTGAGGCTGTTGGAAAGAACCAAACATTTTTTCCCTCTGTTGTGAGACAGGTCAATCTGAGTCCAGGGGGACCCTCACGTTTCTTCACTGTGATCTGGCTCAGAGAGGTGATGCCAGAGATGATAAAGTGCTGCTGCCATCACTGTCTAGATGGGCAAATCAATGCATTGAGCCCTGTAGCGGGTGTTCCTCAGAAATTGCGCTTCATGCCCATCCCAACCCCTCAAGGCTGGCTGTGCTGCTCTCCCTCTCTGCGGGCACCAGATGGATTTCCTCAGTTCATCCCCGTAATTACCACAAACAGAATTGGCAGAGCAGCGGTTTCTTTTTCACCTGGGCAAGCTGTGTCCCGATGGACTGGGTTGGACATGGGGGGGGGGAATCCATCCCCTCATGTTCTCCTTTTCTTCTTGGAGTTCCACAGGCTCTGGTGAAGGAAGATCCAGTGTAGGCAGGGAACAAGGGAAGTGCAGCAAGATGGGCAAAGTGCAACCTCTGGGAAACACTTGGCAGGGTGCAATTCTTCATTAATTTGCCCATCTGGACAGTGGCAGTGGCAGTGGCCTATCGGCTCTGGCATCACCCCTCTGAGCCAAATGGCAGTGGGGGGAGTTGGGGAACCCCTGGATCCAGGGGTTGATCTGACTCGCAGTGGAAGAGAAGGAGGCTTGGTGCTTTCCCACAGCCTCACTATGGCCAGGGCTCTCGGGATGATCTGGTAGGTTGTAAGGGAGGGGATTCAAAGGTTGGGATAGCCTCAGGGTCTTGATACGTCTCTCCAGAGGCACAATGTCCATGGAGTTGGGGTCTTCCATGAAAAGGACAACTAAATTTTCCAAGCCTCTCTTCCATGCAAAAAAAAAAAAACCAGGAAGACTTGCAAGGGGTTGAGTTATCCCACATGCAAAAAATTAGGGCATGTCAAATTTTTTAACATTCAATTTCCAAACATTAGGGATGTTCAAAATTTATGATATGCCTTGCGGATTGTAAGGATATTTTGGTTACTTTAATATAATTTAGATGTGCTTGGTAAGTAACTACATAAATATCATAACTTTTTAACATTTTGTTTGTTTCATGCAGATCAGAGGTGGTATCCAGCAGGTTCTGACCAGTTCTGGAGAACTGGTAGCGGAANTTCTGTTTCTGCCTTCACAGGAACTCTCAAAGTATGGAACATAAGTTGTTCACCCAAAAATGGCCAAGATCCTTATGATGCCAGTCCAGCGTTTCTCAACCTTGTCAACTTGAAGATGTTTGGACTTCAACTCCCAGAATTCCCCAACCAGCATTTGCTGGCTGGGGAATTTGGGGAAGTGCAGGCATCTTCAAGTTGACAAAGTTGAGAAACTGTGCCAGTCTGATTTAAAACACTTGAAAGGCATGAAACAGCTGGTTTTGATTGCTCCATGTCAAATCGGAATTCATTGCATTTCATATGTTTTTCTTCATGTATGAATTCAAATTTGGTAATACATAAGACTCTCTGTCCGGCAGCCAGCCCATAACTATAGAACGCACTCCTAGAGCAGCAGCTGCTGGAAGACTCGGCAGCTGAGTTTTGGCGTTTGGAAGCCGGAGAAGAAGTTATGCTCGGAGCGCTGTGGGGCCAGAACAGGCGCTTGCGCAACCCCCCTGTCCAGCTGGGCAGAGCTCCATGCACTGACCTCGGGGGTATTCCGAATATGTCAAGCCGCGGGAGCTGGGGAGCGGACAGAGCGCCATGTGGCTTGGCGCCTTAGAGATACCCCCTCGGTCAGTGAATAGTGCTCTGCCCAGCCGGAGAGGGGGTTTGCCGGGCAGATGCTCGTGAGCGTGGTCACCTCATGGCTGATTCACCTGAAGCTGTGCTCGGCTGTTCGGGAGCCAGTTCACAAGGGAGCAGCTGCCCAGCAACCCCAAAACAATAAGCCTACAAAGCTGAAATTTGGCACGTAAAGCCTACAAACTTGAACTTTTGCATGTATGTTCCTCTTGGCTTCTAAGTGTTCGGTAACAAAGAATTTTTCAAATGACTATCAGAGCATTAGTATTTCATATTATTATTATTAACACACTCTGATGTTAAGGAGTTAGATGTTCTACTTCACCTCCCAACCTGAAAACCTGGAAGTGGGTGTGGCCACTCATTTGGCCTGCTGGCTGGGAGTTTGGAGAGGAGCCTGAGGGAGAGAAGGTGAGATGATACGTGGGGCTTCTGTGGGTCAAGCCTGAGGGAGACAAGGTGATAGGATAAAGTGAGGCTTCTGTGGGGTAAAACTGAGGGAGAGAAGGTGATAAGATAGGAGAGGATTCTGTGGGGCAAGCCTGAGGGGAGAAGGGAATAGGATAGGGGAGGATTTTGTGGGACAAGCCTGAGGGAGAGAATGGGGTAGGATAGGGGAGACTTCTGTGGGGCCAGGCTGAGGGAGGGAAGGGGAGAGGAGAAGTCGATGGTAATTACTCATTAATTTTCAAGCTGTGTCGATTTATTAAGCCCAATCACATAATTTTGTAGCAGAGCACGGGCATTCAGCTAATAAGTTATATTAGCAANATATATATATATATATATATATATACACACACACACACATATTTATATATATAAATATAAATATATAAACGTGAGAACACTCATGCAGTAATCAAGAAATCTCCAGAACCATAAAGCCTACAAACTTGAAATTTGGCACATATGTTCCTCTTGGCGCCTAGATGCTCGGTAACAAAGGATGACCATCAGAGCATTCATATTTCATATACTATTATTAACACGCTCTAATGTTAAGGAGTTAGATGTTCTACTCCCCTCCCAACCTGAAAACATGGAGGTGGGTGTGGCCAGTGTGTGACTCATTTGGCCTGCTGGCTAGGAGTTTGGAGAGGAGCCTGAGGGAGAGAAGGTGATACGATAGGTAGGGCTTCTGTAGGCAAACTTGAGGGAGACAAGGTGATAGGATAAAGTGAGGCTTCTCTGGGGTAAAACTGAGGGAGAGACAGTGATAAGATAAGTGGGGTTTCTTTGGGGCAAACCTGAGGGAGAGAAGGGGATATGGTATGTGGGGTTTCTGTGGGGCAAACCTGAGGTAGAGAAGGTGATAAGATAGGAGAGGTTTCTGTGGTGCAAGACTGAGGGAGAGAAAATGTTAAGCGGGGCTTATGTGGGGCAAGGCTGAGGGAAAGAAAGGAATATGATAGAGGTTTCTGTGGGACCAGGCTGAGGTAGAGAAGGGGGTAGGATAGGGGAGGTTTCTGTGGGGCCAGGCTGTGGGAGAGAAGGGGATATGATACATGGGGCTTCTTTGGGGAAAACCTGAGGAAGAGAAGGTGATAAGATAGTGGAGGATTCTGGGGGGAAACCTGAGCGAGAGAAGGATGTAGGATAGAGGTTTCTGTGGGGCAGGCCTGAGGGGAGAAGGGAATAGGATAGAGGAGGTTTCTGTGGGGCAAGCCTGAGGGAGAGAAGGGGATAGGATAGGGGAGGATTTTGTGGGACAAGCTTGAAGGAAAGAAGAGGATAGGACAGGGGAGGTTTATGTGGGGCAAGCCTGAGGGAAAGAAGAGGATAGGACAGGGGAGGTTTCTGTGGGGCAAGGCTGAGGCAGAAAAGGTAATAGGATAGAGGAGGTTTCTGTGGGACAAGCCTGGGGGAGAGAAGGAGGTAGGATAGGAGAGGTTTCTGTGGGGATAGGAGAGATTTCTGTGGGGCCAGACTGAGGGAGAGAAGGGGAGAGGAGAGATTGATGGTAACTACTCATTAATTTTCAAGCTGTGTCGATTTATTAAGNACCAGCTGTCAAACAGGCGACCAATCAGGAATCAGCATAGCACCATCTAGGGAAAGCAGACCAGAGGGAAACCTCCAGACACAACACAAGCCTAATCTCAAGGGCATCCATACTTTTCAATAGCAGTATTTGCCAGTCTTTGCATTTCTTACTCATTCTTTTCTTTTCAAGTTTCCCCTATTCTTAGCAACCCATTCCCTCAATTTACAATGACGTAGGTGTGGGGGTGGGGGAAATAATTGCCCTATTTGGTATTTATGATAGAAAGCTGTTATCTATGTTATTGAAAATATTAATTATAAATAAAGTATAAATTATAAATAAGGAAACAGAAGCTCCGCCAATAATCTGCTATTCTCCTTCCATGTTAAAATTGCACAAAATCATCTTTTCTCCTAGAGCTGTGATGGTGAACCCATGGCATGAGCCATATTTGCTAGCATGCGAGCTGTCAGATCCTGTGCGCATGTGCGTGCCAGCCAGCTGATCAGGAAAGCTTCCGGAGTTTGGGGAGGGCAAAAACTCTCACCTGCTTGGGGGCAGGGCAGTTACACACTCACGTGTGGGTTTGGGTTGAACATTCATGTGCAAGTGGGCGGGGCACATTGAACTGTGGGTGTGGGCATGTGTGCATGTGCGTAGCTCATGCGCACACAATTTTCACACGCCTTTACAAAAAGGTTCGCCATCACTGTCCTAGAGGGTCTAGCTGTGAAAATGACAATTCAGTTGCCTAGGAAGAGAGAGAAGAAACATCTTGATAATTTATTTTACAAAGGCTGAATTCTTCAGTTCTCACAGATTTTTAATACAGTACATTTTGAAACATTCCAATTTCTTGGTGCTTTCTGCAGAGTTTAACAGAAGCTGCAAATTGCGGAATGGGCTCCTTCCATTCTTTTCCCATCAACTTTCCCTGTAAGTTTTCACATGGATTTCTTGGATTGTTACCTATTGTTCAAAGAAAACCCATCTGTTCAGTTCCAAGCTAAGAGAGGGGCATTGGAAATAAAATAGAGGCCAGCTACTTAAGAAGGTCCATTTACTGTTGACCAGAACCATCAACAGCATGATGTTCTGGGGCAGCTGACCAACTGCTTGAATGAGTGGGTGGATCTTTATAGGTTTCCGTAATGCTGCTGGGGGTTGTGCAATGTTTGAAATGCCACTATGAGTTGTCCAATATAGTGAGCTCTGTGTCTTTTCCATTTACTAACTAGTGGCTTAATCCTACCATGTCCTAAAGATCATGTCCTGTTCTTAGAATCTGGGTGGAGGATGTAAATTTTAATCCCATCACTATTTGTATGCGAATAATTAAGAAAGACTGGCTATAAGAACATGTTTTTCCATTTCTCCTTTGGGGAAGTATAATTGTTAGATTTGGATGAAGAATAGAGTCGAAGCCAGTTGGAATCAACAAACTCTTTATTTGCTACATACTAACTAACATGACAAGCTGCAGGCTATCAGCAGTCTTTTGTTCTGAGAACTGTCAGCCTTCAGCCAACAGATTCAACGCATTTTCCTGCAGTTGGTCTGGGTGGCTGTTATCCAATAGATTCAAAGTATTTTTCCACGGTCAGTGCAGACCGGAGTGGAAACCTCTGTCTGCACCTGCACATATACAACACCCCTCACTGCCTAGCTGGAGCCGACAATTCTTAGACCTAATGCTAAAGCCGTACTCTTCCAAGTAAGCAGATGGGCAGCCCGTGTGCTCTGACTTATGGAGTTCTCCCATTCTCCCAGAGTTCTCTGGAGTGACAGTTGCTGATTCCCTCATTCATGAGGAGCCATCGAGAGGAGAGGCCATGTGTGGCCGCAGCCCTCTCCTGAGTCAGTTTGGTTGAACCCTCATCCGGATTCAGCTTCGGTGGCAGTTGGGCCTCAGCGACAGTTGACTTTGGCAACATGGAGTTCAACCCACCCAGCACTGGGGCTTGGCCCCCTATTTTCTTTTCTTCTGCGTCATTTGTTGGTTAGGCCATCTTGTTTAGTCGGCTGTGGTCAGTTCCTGTGAGGCAGATTTGAAGTTGATCAATGCGATGGTGCCACATCCTACCATCCTCTAATTCCACATGATTGGAGTGTGGTCCCGTCACTTCCACAACATGAGCCAGCAGCCAGGTGGGGCAGCCTGCGTAGTTGCGGGTATATATTGGGTTTCCCTGGTTAATGTTTGCACTTGGCTGTGGTGGGAACCTCTGTCGAGTAGTCAGGATGTAGCCCATCTAGGTTAGTTTGTAGTCGGCAGCCCATCAGTTCCATGGGGCTCTCGTTTGTTGTGGCATTGGGCGTGACATGCTGTATCAGCATGTATTTGTAGGCATTTCGAGTAGGCACCCACCACAATTAGGAATGTCTGCCTGTGCATTGGTTCCGCGAAATCCAAATGTACTCTGGATCACGGTGTTTGGGGTGTTTTCCATTCTCGTGCCGATGCTAATGTGGATGCTGGCCTTGATTCTTGGCATGGCTGGCACGTGACCCATTCTGCGATATTACTGTCCATGTTTGGCCACCAGACATAGCTGCATGCCAGTGCCTTCATTTTTATTATTCCAGGGTGACCCTCATGTAATGACTGCAAGATGGGTTGCCTTAGTTTGGGGGGGATCCCTACGTGCTTTCCCCACAGTAAGCAACCCCGTTGAACAGACAGTTCACGTTGCCGGTTGTTAAACGGCTTGAGCTCTATGCTTACTGGTTCCTTGGGCCATCCCCTCCAGACACAGTTCAGTACCTGCAAAATTGTCTGGTCCTTGTGGACTGTCTACTAATTAAAGTTAATATAATTCATTATTTTGTACAAGGATCCCTGAGAAAATTGATCTCCCTCAAGCAAAATGCTGACAGATGCAGAACTGGAACCTGAACTAATACTATGTATCATATGGTGTTTCCTCTGTTTCTTGACTGAAGCTATGTTATTAGCTTTGCTTTATGGAAAAAAACAAAGTTTGTAGCAATACAAAAATAAATTCTTTAAAAATATATGATGAACATGGTGGAGGGAGCAGAAATGCTATGTCCATGATGACGCAGGCTAACTAAGAGCCATGGTGGCGCAGTGGTTAGAGTGCAGTTCTGCAGGCTATTTCTGCTGACTGCCGGCTGCCAGCTGTTCCGCAGTTTGAGTCTCACCAGCTGAAGACTGACTCAGTCTTCCATCTTCCGAGGTTGGTAAAATGAGGACCCAGATTGTTATGGGCAATATGTTGACTCTGTAAACAGCTTAGAGAGGGCTGTAAAGCACTGTGGAGCGGTATATAAGTCTAAGTGCTATTGCTATTCTGATGAAATATGTAATCATGATGATGTAACTACATCATTACATATTTGTGAATCTTCATTTTTATTTAATCAGTTTGCTCCTCTACTTTTATTGGATTTAGAGAACACTTGAATGGATATGGTCAATATTTCAGCCTCTCCCAGTTTTATAAATTTTAAGAGGCAAACTACATGCCCTGCTTCGCTAGAAACCTCAGACTGTGAGCGCGTGCACACAATAGCGTGCAGGTGTGCTGGCATCCATAATGCAAAGGACGCCCCCACAGGCGCATGCACGCACAACCCTCCCACACCCCATGTGCCACACTGCTCGCCTCCAAGCTGAGCTTGGTATTTCCTCCAGGGGGCTGAGGCGTAAACCAATTTTTTGTACTATAATTGCTCTCTAAGAAAGGCAGGTCCTTCCTATTCCAGCTGTAATATCAGAATCTGCCTGGGGACAAGCATGTGCAGGGACCTGTTTTTTGGGTGTGCTAGTGATTATAGGACATATTTCTCAAGTGCTAATTTTTGTATTGTTGTAATTGTTGGGTATTTGAAGTATTTTAAATGTGTTCACTGCCAAGGGTCACTTATTGAGTAGGTCAATTGTGCAACTGAATGAATGAATGCAGTTTCTTCCAGAATCCAGGTTTCAACCTTTTATCATTAGTCTTATTAGGATTCTCTGTGCCACATGTTCCTGAATACAGAATGTTATTGTTTGCTGGATGAACATAAACCCACAAGAAGCCTATAGTTAGTTTGCAAATAAGCATTGCCAAGAAGTATTTATAAAATATATCTGTTATTTATTCAATAAAGTTAATTATCTGCATAGGAGAATAAAAGATAATATTAAAATCAAGTTTGGAATATGCCTATTGAGAATTTTTTTTTAAAAAAAGTGGAGAATAATAATAGCTTATTTATGAGAAGGTCACTTTGCTTGAGGAGGACACCAAGGATGGCATGCCTTCCTAAAGAATTCAGCAG